TCAAAGTATTCGATTTTGCAAATTCAAAATTAAATTGCAAAATATTGTTTTATAACTTTGATTTTTTTTCCAAAAATCTGGACGTTTCGGATAAAAACTCAACACGGAGTCATAAACTACATGTGTAGGACTATGTTACTGTATACAATTTAAAACCCATTTACTATGCATAAATTTGAAGTGACGTCATCACATTATTGGTGGGGATGATTAGACAAATTTAATAATTTTGCGACATTTATGAAAAACATATCAGTTAACAAAAATAGCACGAAAATGACCATTATTTTATGGGAACAACTACCTGCTAAATCTTCTCCGAGAAATTCCAGAGAACTGGTGTGAGCCATAAATATTTCTTACCAAATGTATATATAACTACTGTCCGTCCCGTTATTGTCAATAAAATTTTATAGGGTAAAATGTGAATTTCGTTGTAGTTTGAACCTACCTACAAATTCTGCCCTTGAAGGATTTGGACCGCCTTCTTCGGTGAGGGCGGGCAAAAACGATCCGCCCATAGGCTCAAAACATTTGCGTGCGATTGTACAAACCAACTGGTTCTTATACGGGGGCTATTAAAAATATTAAAATTTTTTTAATAGCATTAAAATAATTAGAACTATCAAACTGATTACGACAATTTAGTAATTAAACTGTTGATAATAACAGAAAAAAAATGTTTGTTCACTTCACTTAAATCGTAGCTAGAGAGTGCATTTTAACACAAACGCAGAAATAGTGTAGGCTATAATTTTTTTTTTATATACGTTTTTTTGAAAAAAAATCCATATGAAAAGGAATAAATGTTGTGGATCGAGGGTGTAAGAATCATGATATATTGTATTATAAGATCGTTCCAAATTTTTATCAATTTTTACCCTAAACATCCAGATTTTTGTTTTATTGTTAATCAATTGTTTTCGTCTACGCTCCCCTCAAAAAATTAGGACAATTTTGTTGAATAATCTTTTAGAATTTTATAAAATAACATGCTCCTGTAGTTACTAAAAATTCTCAAAATAACAGTCACCGTCCAAAATAAAATAAAATGAGACCAAAATTACAAAATCAAATTTTATAACTAAAAAGTTAGTTTTGTGGGTCCAACAGAATAAATCGCTAATTTTCTATTAATTCTTTAATAATTAAGAATATCCAAGTAAAAAAAAATATAAAGTCGTGATTTAAAAAAGTCCACTCAGTTATATTATTATATTATGTAGACTGAATTTGTGTTAAATGAAAACTTCTTTTAATGCTTCCTCCCAAATTTTGGATCATTTAGACTACAATTATTGTCTTGATAAGGAAAAAGCCAACTTTGATATGACAAGTACATATACATATTTATGTTATAGTGGAGAGTAAGTCATTTGCCAAAATGAGTCTTATTTCGGCAAATATTAGCCCGGCCTACCCGCCTTTTATTTTATTACAGGGTAGGTTATTTGGAAAGTACTAGCTCTGCCCACCCAAACTTTATTTTTTTAGAACAATAAATCATCTGCCAAAATCAATATTACTAGCAAGTACTAGGCCCGCCTGCCCACCCTTATTTTCTTAGAGGATATGTCATTTACCAAAATCAGTCTTATCTTGACAAGTATTAGCCCCGCCCACCCACCCATTATTTTCTTAGAAGAGTGGGTCATTTGCCAAAATCAGTCTTATCTTGAAAAGTACTAGCCCCGCCCACCCACCCTTATTTTCTTAAAGGATATGTCATTTGCAAAAAGCAGTCTCATACTTGACAAGATAAGATTGATTTTGGCAGATGACCTAGTCTAAGAAAATAAAGGGTGGGTGGGCGGGGCTAGTATCTTTTCCTGGAAGAGTAGGTCATTTGCCAAAACGAGTCTTATTTTGGCAAATATTAAGCCGGCCTACCCGCCTTTTTTTTTGTTAGAGGGTAGGTTATTTGGCAAGTACTAGCTCCGCCCAACTAGCCTTTATTTTCTGAGAACAATAAGTCATATGCCAAAATCAATCTTATCTAGCAAGTACTAGGCACGCCCACTCACCCTTACTTTCTTAAAGGATATGTCATTTACCAAAATCAGTCTCATCTTGACAATTACTAGCCCCGCCCTCCCACCTTTTATTTTCTTAGAAGACCCGTCATCTGCCAAAATCAGTCTTATCTTGACAAGTACTAGCCCCGCCCACCCACCCTTATTTTCTTAGAGGATATGTCATCTGCAAAAATCAGACTCATACTTGACAAAATAAAATTGATTTTGGCAGATGACCTATTCTAAGAAAATAAAGAGTGGGTGGGCGGGGCTAATACTTTTTCTTAGAAGAGTAGGTCATTTGTCCGGCCCGCCCGGGCTTTGTGAGTAGTACTAGAGTACTAATTTCTTATTCGATAACGGAGATTTCTGAAATTTACTGCACTTATTAATTTAGGCATCCTCAGTATGAATCCGACTTAAAAATTGATTTGCAGAGGTTCCTGGATTTTTTTGATTTTTTTTTTATATTATGTTAGCTTCAAAAAAATTACATCGTCTGCTTTATCAGCGTCTCAAGCACAAACACCAGATTTATCTGACACTAAAAGTTATTCGTTGTGACTAGAAAACTCCAAGGAATCGAATGGTACGAACCAGAAACTCGTGTCTCGAACCGTTTTGAAATGATGAATCCGTAAACTCGAAAAATATTTTTTGAAACTTGGAATGAAATGCAATTCCAGTTCAAATCTAAATAATATTCAAGAACTAATGTAGACATGAATTCTGCAGTGTAAAATTACTCTGGGAACTCAATTCCAAGCAAACTGGAAAACCATTTTTTATGAAGTATCTCATCTGACACAAAATTTCGCGGTTGTGATAAGTAGTACTAATTTCTTATTCGATAACGAAAATTTCTGAAATTTGCTACACTTATTAATTTAAGCATCCTAAATATGAATCCGACTTCAAAATTGATCATCATAGGTTCCTGAATTTGTTTGAATTTTTTAAATTATGTTACCTTCAGAAAAATGACATCGTCTGCTTTATCAGTGTGTCAAATGTAAACGCCAAACTAATCCGACACAAAAAGTTATTCGTTGTGACTAGAAAACCTCAAGGAATCGAATGGTACAAACCAGAACTCGATACCTTGCATCGTTTTGAAATGAAGAGGCCATAAACACGAAACATATTTTTTGAGATACAGAATGAAACGAAATTCCGATTAAAAACGAATTAATACTCAACAACTGATGGCAGAAATGATTTCTTCTGGTCAAAATTAGTCTAGAAACTCAATTTGAGACAAATTAGAAAACATTTATTTTTTCGTGAAATATCTGGTGATTGTGGTAAGTGGTACTGATTTCTTATTCGATAACAGAGATTCCTGAAAGTTGCTGCACTCACTAATTAGAGCCTTCTGAATATGAATCCGAATTCATAATTGCTCAGCGGAGCTTCCTGATTTTTTTATTCGTGTTTTTTTTGCTATAGAAAAATAACATCCTCTGATTTATTAGCGTCTCAAACACAAACGCCAAACTTATCTAGCAAAAAAAAAATACTCGTTGTACTAGAAAACTCCAAGGAATCGAATGGTACAAACCAGAAACTCGTATCTCAAACCGTTTTGAAATGATGAATCCGTAAACTCGAAAAATATTTTTTGAAACTTGGAATGAAATGCAATTCCAGTTCAAATCTAAATAATATTCAAGAACTAATGTAGACATGAATTCTGCAGTGTAAAATTACTCTGGGAACTCAATTCCAAGCAAACTGGAAAACCATTTTTTATTGAAGTATCTCATCTGACATAAAATTTCGCGGTTGTGATAAGTAGTACTAATTTCTTATTCGATAACGAAAATTTCTGAAATTTGCTACACTTATTAATTTAAGCATCCTAAATATGAATCCGACTTCAAAATTGATCATCATAGGTTCCTGAATTTGTTTGAATTTTTTAAATTATGTTACCTTCAGAAAAATGACATCGTCTGCTTTATCAGTGTGTCAAATGTAAACGCCAAACTAATCCGACACAAAAAGTTATTCGTTGTGACTAGAAAACCTCAAGGAATCGAATGGTACAAACCAGAACTCGATACCTTGCATCGTTTTGAAATGAAGAGGCCATAAACACGAAACATATTTTTTGAGATACAGAATGAAACGAAATTCCGATTAAAAACGAATTAATACTCAACAACTGATGGCAGAAATGATTTCTTCTGGTCAAAATTAGTCTAGAAACTCAATTTGAGACAAATTAGAAAACATTTATTTTTTCGTGAAATATCTGGTGATTGTGGCAAGTAGTACTGATTTCTTATTCGATAACAGAGATTCCTGAAAGTTGCTGCACTCACTAATTTGAGCCTTCTGAATATGAATCCGAATTCATAATTGCTCAGCGGAGCTTCCTGATTTTTTTATTCGTGTTTTTTTTTCCCCTATAGAAAAATAACATGCTCTGATTTATTAGCGTCTCAAACACAAACGCCAAACTTATCTAGCACAAAAAAATACTCGTTGTACTAGAAAACTCCAAGGAATCGAATGGTACAAACCAGAAACTCGTATCTCAAACCGTTTTGAAATGATGAATCCGTAAACTCGAAAAATATTTTTTGAGATCTGGAATGAAACGCAATTCCGGTTCAAATCTAAATAATATTCAAGAACTGATGTGGACATGAATTCTGCAGTGTAAAATTAATCTAGAAACTTAATTTCGCTCTCTCAATCTCTCGCTTGACATCAAATCTCAGAATTAAAATAGTGAGGATTTACAACGTTTGCCTGCTTTTAGGTTGCTTATCCGAAAAAAACAAGAGCTTAGCAAATGGGGCGTCGTTAATGATGTCGCCTAATTCATAGAAACTTTGTTCCTTCCAGTCGAGCAATCCAGAGTATTTATGGTTGTTCCACTCATCGAAGAGAAAGTGCATGTTTACTTTTTGGCCGTACCAACTGTATCTCGTGCGCTTGCTACGTTTCACTGGAAAAAAAGCCTTAACGACTTACCATTGACACGGGTATGGGGCCAGCCGCTCCGTTGGGGTAGCTGTAGGGGGACACCAGATATCCCATGTTGAACGAAGAGGTGTGGGGCACGGGCTCCACCTTGCCTGCAACAAGTAACCCAGGTCATTAATCACCGTCGACACCCGAAATTTCTCCCAAATCCCGTCCCCGACCCACAAACACGTCGCTCCCAGGAGACCGAAAACGTTTCCGAAGACCTCATCCGTTATAGCCCGAGTAATTGCTCTCCGTATTTACAAATAAGGACCAGATGTGGAGATTAGATCCACGACAGGATTTATGCGCCAGTGTCATATTTGCCTTGCCGACACGCAGGGGAGTCGACTTTTCCTCAGCATCTCCGATTTACAGCCAAGGTAGAACAAAAACGGTTTATGGTCTCGGCCTAAGAAATGGGATCTTTTATGTAGCGCCTAAAAAAGCTCGCAGAACAGAGACGTCCATCGCATTCTCGTAAATCTCGACTCGACAATACTTCTCTCGGTGCTCAAAAGCCATCAACAATAATTAATTAGGAAACCGGAGACTCGGGCTGAATACGTATTGTGCGAGCTGGCGAAGAGTTGGTCAGTCGGTCCGAGGCTGAGGCGAGCGGTTGAAGGTCGCAGCCGACGTTACCAGCGTTCCCCGCACGTCCGCGGCCGGAGTCTGAGAGGACGGTAGAGGCACCGCGATGAATGGCTTCGAACGCGACTGATTTTTGGTTTATTTTGGAAAGCACGGACTGTGTCTTCCGCTGTATATATATTTTTTTTAATCAAGTTCACTGCTCGACTTAAACGAATTCAGATGAATGGAAGAAGTTGGAATAAATACACAGAACTGAAACGTAATTACAGTAATTTAGAAACTTGAACGTTTCATTTGGATTCGATGACTCTTAAAAATGAACGATCAAATTGTACACTCCAAAACGAGAACATAAAACGGTTAATATTAATATGGAAGCTGGGTATAAATTAATAACGAACTAAAGTGGGCCGAAAATGGAAGTCACTAAAAATCACTCTTTACTTTGCGAAACCTCACGAAATGAAATTCGTTTATCCCCTCGCAAAAAATTGATGACGTCATCACAAAAGTTTCTCAATTATTCGATAAACCAATTTTTCATTTTTCGATTTTTTAGTTTCTCAATTTTTGATTTTCCAATTTTTCAATTTTTCGTTTCCTCAATTTTTTGTATTTTTGACTGATTTTTCATTTTCCCCGCTTTTTCATTTCCTTTATTTTTTCAATGTTCCTTTCGATTTTATAATTTTTCTTTTATACAATTTTTCAGTTTTTCAATTTTTGGATTTCAAATTATTTTACAATTTCTGTAATTTTTAATATTTCGATTTTTCTATTTTTCAAGGTTTTCATTTTATATCTTTTCGTTTTTTCATTTGTGATTTTTAATTATACAATTCAGCAATTTTTACATTTTTATGCGAAGTTGAAAAATTGAAAAATTAAAAATCGAAAAATTGAAAACTCCAATAAATGAAAAAGTTTTAAAATCCAATAATTGAAAAAAGGAAAAATTTTGAATTAATAAAATTGAAAAAGTGAAACATTTTTTTATTTATATATTTTACATACTTTAAATGAAAACTGGAAAAATTGAAAATTGAAACTCAAAAATTGAAAGAACAAAACTGAAAAATCATGAAACCGAAAAACCTAAAATTGAAAAAACGAAGAATAAAAAACCGCAAGTTGAAAAATTAAAAACAACCTAAAATTGAAACACCGAAAAATAAATAAAATACAAAAACAAAAACTGTAAATCGAAGAGTTGGAATTGAAAAAACAATAATTATAAAATCGGAACACTGAAAAATGGAAAAATTGTAAAATAAACAAAATGAAAAACCGAAACGAAAAATTTGAAGAATGAAAAACTGAAAAACCAAAAACCTGAAAAATTAAAAATCGAAAAATTAAAAAATTATGAAAGTGAAAGACCTGAAACTGAAAAAAAACGAAAAAATAAAAAATCTAAAAGTTGAAAAGTCAGTTACATGAAAAAGTTTTAAAATCCAATAATTGAAAAAACGAAAAATTCTGAAATAATAAAACTGAAAAAGTGAAACATTGTTTTTTATAATTATTACTGTCACATAATATGAAAACTGAAAAAATTAGAAATTGCAACTCAAAAATTGAAAAAATGAAAAACTGAAAAATCATGAAACTGAAAAAACTAAACTTGAAAAATTAGAAAGTTCAAATAAAGAAAATTAAAAAAACAAATATAAATAAATAAAAAACCAAAAAGGTATAAATTGAAAAACATTCTAAAATCGGAAAAATGGAAAAATTGTAAAATAAACAAAATGAAAAACCGAAACGAAAATTTGAAGAAATGAAAAACTGAAAAACCAAAAACTTGAAAAATTAAATACCGAAAAATTAAAAAATTATGAAAGTGAAAAACCTGAAATTGAAAAAACGAAGAACTAAAAAATCTAAAAGTTGAAAAAACGAAAAATCGAAAAGTTGAGAAGTCAAATAAATGAAAAAGTTTTAAAATCCAATAATTGAAAAAACGAAAAATGCTGAAATAATAAAACTGAAAAAGTGAAACATTTTTTTTATAATTATTACTGTCACATACTTAGAATGAAAACTGGAAAAATTAGAAATTGCAACTCAAAAATTGAAAAAACGAAAAACTGAAAAAGCATGACACTGAAAAAACTAAACTTGAAAAAATAGAAAATTCAAAACTAAATAATTTAAAAATCCAAAGCATTTCACGTTGAAAAAAATCCAAAATTGAAAAACCGAAAAATAAAGAAAATTTAAAAAAACAAATATAAATAAATAAAAAACCAAAAAGGTATAAATTGAAAAACATTCTAAAATCGAAAAAATAGAAAAATTGTAAAATAATCAAAATGAAAAACCGAAACGAAAATTTGAAGAAATGAAAAACTGAAAAACCAGAAACTTGAAAAACCAAAAACCTGAAAAAAGTTATGAAAGTGAAAAACCCAAAATAGAAAAAAACGAAAAACTAAAAAATCTAAAAGTTGAAAAATCGAAAAGTTGAAACATCAAATAAATGAAAAAGTTTTAAAATCCAATTATTGAAAAAACGAAAAATTCTGAAATAATAAAACTGAAAGTGAAACATTTTTTTTAATTATTATTACTCACATACTTTAAATGAAAACTGGAAAAATTAGAAATTGCAACTCAAAAATTGAAAAAACGAAAACATGAAAAATTAAAAATTCAAAACTGAATAATGTAAAAATCCAAAACATTAAAACTTTCACGTTGAAAAAAAATCCAAAATTGAAAAACCGAAAAATAAAGAAAATAAAAAAACTATTATAAATAAATAAAAAAACAACAAAAAATTATAAATTGTAGAATTAACAAAATGAAAAATCGAAACGAAAAATTGGAAGAAATGAAAAACTTGAAGAATTAAAAAAATTGAAAAGTGGAAGAACTCTAAAATCGCAAAATTGAAAAAGTGAACAAATTTTAAAATTAAATACTTAAAATAAAAATTGGAAACATTGCAAATGAAAAATTGAAGAAATAAAAAACTGAGAAATTATGAAAATAAAAACCTAAAAATTTGAAAAATCGAAAAACTGAAAATCGAAAACTTGGAAGTCGAAATATTGAAAAATCCAAAAATTGAAAAATTTCACAGCGAAAAAATATATAAAATCAGGACACTGGAAAGCCGAAAAATTGAAGAAATAAAGAAAATAAAAAACCCAAACGAAAAATTGCAAATCGAAAAATTGAAATTGAAAAAAAGTGAAAAATTATAAAAATCGTAGAATTGAAAAAGGGAAATATTTTAAAAATAATTATTATACATTTAAAATGGAAACAAGAAAAATAAAAAATTTTAGAAACGAAAAATAGAAAAATGGAATTTGAAAAATTTTGAATCGAAGAAAAATTTGTAAAAATCTATAAGTTAGGAAATCGAAAAATTGGAAAATTCACAAACCGAAAAATTTCACATTGATAAAAATAAAAAAAAATAAAATCAGTACATTGAAAAACCGAAAAATTGAAAAAATAACGAAAATCAAAAAACCAACACAAAAAATTGCAAATCAAAAAATTGAAATTGAAAAAACAAAACCGAAAAATTGAAGAAATAAAGAAAATAAAAAACCCAAACGAAAAATTGGAAATCGAAAAATTGAAAAATAAAAAAGCGAACAATTGGAAAATAAAAAATCGAAAAATGGCCAAATTAAAAATCGAAAAATGACCGTGGAAGAACTATAAAATCGTAAAATCGAAAAAATGAAAAAAATTTAAATACTTAAAATGAAAATTGAAGAAACGAAAAAGTTAAAAATCTAAAAGTTGAAAAAATCGAAAAATTGAAAATCAAAAAACTGAAAACCGAAAACTTGCAAGTCGAAATAAATTGCAAAATCCTAAAATTGAAAAATTTCACAGAAAAAATATATCAATTCGAAACACTGAAGAGCTGAAAAATTAAAAAAATAGGGAAAATAAAAATCCAAAGGAAAGACTGCAAATCAAAAAATTAAAGACGAAAATTGAAAAATCCAGAAAATGAAAAATCCAAAATTGAAGAAACGAAAAATTAGAAAATCTAAAATTGAAAAATCCAAAAACTGAAAAAGTTCACATTTAAATTTTTTTTTATAAAATTAGAACTTCGAAAAATCGAAAAATTGAGGAAACGACAAATTACGAAAAAACATCCAAAAGTTGGAAAATCGAAAAACTGAAAACATTTTAAATGAAAACTTGAAACTGCATATAGCAAATCGAAAATTTAAAGAAATGAAAACTGAGGAATGAAAAATTAAAAAAAAACGTTTTAAAATCCAGTAACTGAAAAATGGAAAAATCATGAAAATTTAAAACGAAAACTAGAAAAATTGCACGTCAAAAACTGAAGAAATGAAAAATTAAAAAATCAGTTCATTGGAAAACCCAAAAATTGCAAAAATAAACAAAAGCCCTAAACGAGAAGCTGCATATCGAAAATTTGCAAAATTTAAAAATTGAAGGAACAAAAAAATGAAAAATTGAAAAACTGTTAATCGAAAAACTGTAGAAACGCAAAATTGATAAAATT